CAAAAGCAACAATCCAGGAAGGCCGGTTATTTCATCGTTCAACTGCCACACGACAAAAATTTCCAAATACATAGACCATTACATACAACCGCTAGCTAAGGAAGTAAAATCCTACATTAGAGACACAACAGATCTACTGAACAAAATTAATCACATACAAACAGTACCAGAGAAAGCTATTCTCGTGACTATGGACGTTAGGTCACTATATTCAAACATTGAAAACATCAAAGGGCTGGCCGCCCTTCAGGAAGCACTTACTAAAAGAAGAAAACAGGACCCCCCCACAGAAGTCATCATAAAACTCATGGAGCATGTCCTTACATACTTTCAACTTCAATGGAGCACACTACCTTCAAATAAGAGGTTGTGCCATGGGCACCATTGCAGCTCCATCATATGCTACAATATTCATGGGAAAATTTGAGGAGACCCATATCTATCCAATCATTGGTAGCGACTGCGTATTCTATGCAAGATATATCGATGATATATTCTTTGTATACACGGGTAGTGATGACAAACACCCAATTCCTTATGACCCTAAACACAGTGCACGACTCAATTAAGTTTGACTATGAAAAATCCACAACATCAGTAACATTTTTAGACACCCGCATTTACATAGATGAAAACAGGAAACTACAAACGACACTATACACTAAAATCACCGACACCCACAATTATCTACACTTTAAGTTTTCCCACCCTAAACACCTCAAAGAGAACCTTCCCTATTCACAATCACTTAGACACAGAAGGATATGTTCCAACAATGAAGAATTAAATAAACACATTGAAAATCTGGAGCATCAATTCACAACACGTGGCTATAAACAACACCTAATCAGGAACAAATAAATAAAGCAATTTCCACACCTAGAGAAGATAACACCTAATATACAAGATTAAAAATAAATCTAGCCGCATCCCTCTAGTAACCACTTTCAATCCCACTCTGCCTCCACTATCCCAAATAATCAAACGTCGCTGGGAAATACTACATCTCAAACCAGACCTAAAAAAACTGCTTAAGGAACCCGGCCTTCTTGCATATCGTAGACCTAAGAACCTAAAAGAAATCATAGGTAGTAAACCACATTTCAGGGGACAAGGTAATCCGTAAGGAACTGAGAACAAAAACAACAGGATTTTTCCCAACCATGTAACAACAAAAGAAGTTTATGTTGCAACCATATTAAAAACACGAATTCATTCACTAGCTCAATCACTAAATCTACTTTCAAAATCTACCACGATTCTAACTGTAGAAGTCAAAACATAATTTACCTCCTAGAATGCACACTATGCCAGAAACAATATGTAGGAAAATCTGAATGGCCCTTTAACTACAGAATTAATAATTATCGTAAGCGAATTAAATCGACTCCCTATGAACAGTTATTACCTGTAGAACATTTCCGCCTAGAAAAACACGATTTCAAAACTCATGCCAGATTCACTATAATTGAGAGAATAGAAAAGTTCAGAGCAGATAACATTAGAATGATTTTAGAGTCCCATGAAAATAACTGGATACAACGTCTAAAAACACAATACCCAGCCGGGCTAAATCATAAATTTAACAATATATAATAGTAACAATCAACAAATCAAAACCTACCCACATTTCTCACCCACACAAGACAGGCATGCTTACGGAGGAATGGAGGCCTCACACATACACTCACCCACACGATTATACACATGTACACACACCATACTCACTCACTCCCTAATGAGCCAAATGATAACACACACCTACAGCAATACACACGCTTACACATATCATACTCACTCACTCCTTAAGAACCAAATAACACACACACAAATACTAAACAGAGACACATCCCCTCACCAGGTCCAATAAAACTGTCAAACTGACCAGAGAATTCAGGATAAAATGTATCTATCCAGTTCTTATCTCAAATAACAACATAAAAGAGACTGTTTGATCAACACAAGGAATGTTAAAAGATTCATGTGAAAAAGATAAAAAAATAAAAAAACAAATGAAAACTACAGACAAAAGTTCATTTTCTCCAACAAAAGACATTCATTTCTGTAGTTCACTGCCAACAGCAAGCAGAAATATTTCTCCTCCCGATGATGGCCATTTCGGTCGAAACTAGTCGAGGAATCAAAATGGAATAATAATAATAATAAAAAAACGAAAGAATATTAATCTACAACCCAGTGTGTCTAATGATTTTAATTTTTCAATTTTTTATTTTCTTATTGTTCAATATATATATATATATATATATATATATATATATATATATATATATATATATATATATATAAATGAAATTGTTAGAAAGATTCTGTACAAAAACTTGTTATATAGACTAAAATAAGAATTGGGAAAAAAGCACCTAGTATTTATATTTATTTATAATATATGTATTTTTACAGAGAAAAATTAAAATTAAAATGTTGTTACTTACAAGTAAATTTTCAGTGTTTTTTTCCTAGAAAAATAATTTGTTGTTTTACTTTATTATACTTTAACTTGTTTTGCTTAGCTTTTCAAAATTTTTTTAAGTGTTTGTACTTCCACATGTTGACACTTACATTTTGAATAAATGAAAGAAATGAAATAATCAAGGGATGTAATTGGTTATATATGTTGTTTATGGTAAAGGTAATTTGGTAGAATCTATTTATGCAATGAATTAAGTATTGCTTTCAACTTGTTGATGAAAAATATTTCCTTATTAATATGCATTTGTTCATTGGTTCTCTAGTCGCACTTATAGAAAGGGAAGACACTAAAATTTGGCAGATTTTGTTCTCTGCATTCCTCTATATGTTGGCTAAGGGGTATATTTTTGATATGGGGATCTCTAATTTGTTGGCAATGAACTGTCATCATTTGCTTGAGTGACTGACTGGATGGCCAACGTAATGCTTGTGGCAATCTTTGCATGTAATTATATTTATTAAATTCACTGAGACACACGAGAAATCATTTTTAATTTTGATCCGTCTTTGAAATGAAATTCATGGCTTTCTAATATAGGTAGCTGTATACTTCATAGAAAGGTTAGTTGCATTTTTTCACCTGAGGGTCTTTATTTGTGTGTTTTCAGTTTTGCACTCATCATTATCTTTCTTAGTGATTTTGGTTGTTGTTTACTTTTTATGATTGGATGTGTGTGTATATATATATATATATATATTATTTTTATATAATTATTTCTTATTTTATGTGTTATATAAATCATATAAATTTTGGTTATTTTACACATCAGCAACATTCATATTTGTGAGAAGTAATTCACACACTAGAAAAAAATTAATAAATTTAATAAACATTTTATGTCTATTCTTTATAACATTTATTTACGAGAACAATTTGCACCCAGATATACTAAATTTTCATATATATATTTTGATTGATTTGTTTTTATGGCTTATCAACCTTTGCAGCTTATTTAACGCCAGAAAATATGTTTAGATTAAATTTATTTTTGGGCAATAATAATGATTTACTGATACAATTCCTACTAATTAACCCATAGTTGGGGGAAAAAAATGGATTCATGAGTCTCCCAAGGGTATTACTGCATAAGGGAATATAATGAATCTGACTGGAATTGGAACTCAGCTCCCCGATTTCCAGTTCCAAATCCTTATATTGTCTGCACATCCCAGCTTACAGCATCTAGTATTCTGGCAGTCACCCATTGAGGTACTCACCAGGCTTGACATTGCTTATGTTCAGTGATCAGATGAGTATGGGCGTTTTAACATGATAGGGCTGTAAGCCCATATATATATATATATATATATATATATATATATATATATATATATATTTGTGTGTGTGTGATTCTGATAATAATGTTAACACAAGTTATAATATTGATTACCTGTGAACATGTTATATCAATCAGTTATATAGAAAACCCTGTAGATGTGAATAAGGACTTTTCTACAAAATCAAAACATCAACCTCAAAACTTGAGTCATGTTTTTAAATAGCCATATCAGATTGAGACTTTCATATGGTTGCCATGAATGTCACCAAACCCATTCAGAAATATCCAAGCTGTCATTTGCATACAACTGCTTCCTAAGATCAATGGTGAAAAAATGCTTTGAGAGAGTAAAGCCTGAGGATGTTGGCAAAGATCATACTCCTTTGGAGATTGGGGACATACACAATCAAGAACAAAGAGAAAATAATGACATCATGAAGATGTTGACATTCCACACCACTTCAAATAAACAGTTAGGAACAGCACTCCACCCCATCAATACTGGAAAGAGTGATAACAGCTACTGGACATGAGAAGCCTATTTTTTTTTCGAAAAAAAGTGTTTTAAGAGAAAGATTTTATAAATTTCAACTGAAAATAGTACTGGCTGCTTGGTTAATGAATGCCAAATAATTCCTTATAAGAAGATGGCTATATAAGTAATACCATTACTTATACATTTACACGTTCACATTTTCTTGATTGTTATTTTCCTCTTCTTTGTATGCATCAAATATTACGCAGAATAAATATATCAGTTTACTTCATTTTTGCATGAAATAGTTTTATATACACATACACAGAATCAGATAAAAAGAAATATAATTTTCAGCCTGATCCCAAGGCCATGAATAGGCCAAAGCTTTGTTGGAGGTCCTGCTGCTGTTTTTATGAAAATAATTGTAAGAAGTGATAAATTACCATTATTGCCCAGAGGTGTAAAATATACCTATATTCATATTTACATATATACATATTTATCACGGTTCAGCATTGCACTTAAAGAATCTTAAAATCTTTTCTGTTTGAAAGCCAAGTGCTAAAATCACAAACTACTTTCCTCACAATTTATAATATCAACTCTAACTGCAATTGTATTCTTGACTCTCAAACTGTATTTTTACTTATAGTTTCTGAATTTTATTTTACTCTTCCATGCTTGTGTTCTTGCTTACTAAACCATACTTATACACTTGGCTTCTAAATTGTGTCTCTACCCACAGCTTCCAAAACATGTTTCCGCCCTTTTTTTTCTCAATGGAGATTGTATTCTTGGTATCCAAGATATGCCTGTATCCTTTGGCTTCCAGATCATATTTGTAGTCATAGCTTCAAATATTACTTCTACTGTCAATTTCCAAAGTGGGATTCTGTCCTTAATTTTCAAACTAGGCTTGTACCACTGGCTTTCAAACAATACTTGAACACTTGGTTCAAAATTTGCTTGTAACCTTGGCTTCCAAACTGTGATTTTATCCTCAGCTTCCAAACTTTGTCTTCCAAAGTGACCGTAATTTCTGCTTCCAGATTGTAATTTTACATTTGGCTTTCAATAAGTATTTACACGTTCAGTTTTCAAACATCTGTCTTCTACCAAACAGCCCTTTTTACTTCAGCTCCTAAAATGTGCTTGTCTTCTTGGCTTTTGTACTTGTAGGTTCAGCTTCCAAAGTGTACCATTAGACTAAAATTGAGCAATCATAAAATTGGTTACTATAGCAATCAGGAGGAGTAAATGATAAAAGTTCTATCTGCTAGAAAATAGCAATGATTTTCAATGACTAAATTAAATCATTAGCACATTGTAAAATGGTAGCAAATGGAATGTTAGAATTGTTCATGCAATGCTCTTGTAGTTTCCAGTTTTGTTTCAATTCTTTGCCTTTGCGGGTTGCCCTATAGGTTATTGTTTGTCATGATTGAAAGAGTGGGAGGTTCTTGGCAGTAAAATGGTAAGAAAAGTGCAAGTTGAAAGAAGGACATTATGTGCATTGAAAAGAAAAAAGAATTTGGAAGGACAAGCTGGGGATGAAGTTAAGTATAATAACAATAAAAAAAATACAATGGTTGTGAAAGAAAGAAAGAAAAAGCAAATATAAATAAGGAAAATGGAAGACAAAAGATAATGAAGAAGTCAAGAAGCAAATATTAATACACTATTTACATTATTCGAACTATTGTCCTCATCTTTGTTTTATTTATCACAATGTTTCAGCTGTTGTATGCTCCGTCCTTCTTCAGGTGGTTGGAATATCAAACTGAACCCTTTATTTTGCTCACTGGGGTAGACTATTCTAGCTCCATGTGCCATGTCTAATGGATGTCAGTTATCAGTTATCTCCTGTCAATTACCCTCTCCAAGTTCTCCACTAGCTTAACCAGGTATTGAACTTACACTCCTTGGGTCCTATCACTGGATCTAAGTAACGCCTTTATCCACTGTGCCATATGTCCTTGAGGACATCTGGGTATTATAAACCTAATGAATTCAGAAACCATTTTTACCAGTGCTCATATTGCAATTTTTGCTGTTACCATTGCCTGTTTTTTACCAGATCTCATATTGCAATTTTCGTTGTTATTATCGCTTTTCTCTGGCACTCCTCATTACTGGTTCCTGTATTGTATTCATTTCTATGCTTGGTCAGCTCAGGAGATTTTAGTGGCCTAGCAAATATTAATCTTGAGAATGATTGTTTTCAGTGGAAAAAAAAGAGAGAAAGAGAGACTGATAAAGAAAAAGAACATAAAGATGTGGCAATGAAGAAATGGAAAGAAAAATAAAAAAAAATATGAAAATAAAATTAATGAAAGAAAATAAATGACAAAGAAAGCATCAAAAGAAAATAGCAAATAAAGTTTGTAATTGGAAAAATAAAGGAGAAAATAATTTGTAGAAGAAAATTGGATGAAAATGAATAATTTTCTTAGTGAAAACAATTTGAATAGGAAGAAGAGGGAAATGAATAAGAGGAAGAAAAGGTAAGCAATGAGGGGAAAATGTTATAGAAGGAAAAGTGAAATAAGAGGAAGAAAATGTTATGGAAGAAAAAATAAAATGAATAAAAGGAAGAAAATGAGAAAGAAAAAGGGAAAAAATTATGGGATGAGAAGAAGAGGAAGGAAAACAGAATGAAAAGAAAATAAAGATAGAAGAACCCAGAAAAATTCTTCAGGTTAAAAAGTAATCTGCAGGATGTTATGAATGAAAAATAAACTAAAGAACACATAAAGAAAAGAGAAAGAAAACAAATTTTAATTTGCTTTTCAAAAAATAATTTGCAGAACAATTCTTACTTTTTTGTTCACCTTTACTAATAGTCACTATTTTAGGGTCTTTATTATACTTGTTTGTGTGTCACTGCTGAAGAACTTTAGCCTGCTACTTTAGTGCCCTTGCCACACAGCTGAAATAATCTGACATGATTAATGACAGAACTCAATCCTCTGTTAAGCTCAAATGATGTTTAATGCCTCTATGCTTTAGTGTAAGTTTAATATCAAACTTCATTTCAACCTTCATTACAAAGGTCAGTCTAACAAACATTATTCAGAGTATTGAGTTAAAAATGTTCTTAATATTTTTATGTTTATTTCAATCATTGAAAAATAAATCATTTCATGACATAAAGAATAAAGCTAAGCAGAAAAATATGCTTGTTGGGCTTTAGGGTTGTAACAATTAAATGTTCCTCAATCTTGATATCTCAGTATTTATTCAGTTCATCCATTGGAAATTTTCCATATAAAAAGGCTGAAAGGAACAAAATCCTGACATAAAACAATATTGTTTTTAATCATTTCACCACAAGCAAGGCAATAAAGCCACTAAGAGACAGGAGGTAACTGAGTGTGAAAGAATATAAGGAAAAAAAAACATTATTAAGGCACAAGAACAATAAAAGAACAAGAATTAAGAAGATAAAAATTTACATTGCATTTAAATTTTTGAAGATGAAAGTTGGTTAGAAAGCAAGAAGCCGAAATAGTCTGACAAGCAAGAATTGTAATAGAATAAACTGTTAGCACTGAACTTACAGTTACACTTAGCCATTTAAACTGTAAAATGACAAGACCTAGCTGCCAATCTAGTACTGCGCTTAAATTCATAAAGTCCAGGCACCTTAGAAAGAAGTTCATCCAAACAATTAACATGAAAATATTTATAGAAAAGGCAGAGGGAAGCTGCATTACGGCAATGGGAAAGGGACTGATGCTGAGATGCCAGGTCAGGACCAGTAACATTGCAGGTCCTACTTTGGATTTTATCAAGGGTCTCTAAATCTATAGCAGGAACACCAGGCCATATGTGACAGCAATATTCAAAGCACTGATGAATGGTAGACTTATAGATAGATTTGGTCGAGAAAAATTGTCTAGCACGATACAGGGAACCAACTTTCCTAGCAGCAGATATAGCAATTGATTCAATATAATCTTTCCACTTCATTTCAATAGAGTACATTAATCCAAAAAGGTGTAACAAGTCACTCTCCTGAAGGTTTCGCATCAGCCATACTGATGGATGGCACAATGGTTTTTTACAGATAAGTAATAGATAGCAGTTCTGTTTTGGAAACATTAAAATTAACAAGCCATTCCAATTAACAGAATGTAAGTCATTTGTAAGATTAACTGCCAATATGGCCTTATTTTGAAAAAATACTGAATGCTAACAAAAACAAAAATGAATGCTAAAAATCATTGAATGCTGATAATGGAATTTGAATGAAAAAAATACCGGATACTAATAAAAATGTATTTAATTTAAAAGACAATAATGAATGATAAAATGAAACAATATTCAGTGCTAACAAAAAAAACAATATTGTAGAATAACAAAAAATAAAAATAAAAATATTATCTGGTAACAAGAAAATAATATTAAATGGTAAAAATGTCACCCTCGAATAGAAACAATTTTTATACTGAGAAAATCAAATCAAATACATATTTACAGGTAAATGTAAAATAAAATGAAGAGAATATTTAATGCATAAATTTCCTTTAACTGCTTTACTTACAGCATTTATTCAATCCCGATAACAAGCAGTGTATTATTCTTTCTCTATATGTAAGAATTTATGATGTCACATGCACAAAATAGTCTCCTCAATAATATAATTTTCCATTTGATGTTATTTTTAGTATAGATGTTTAAGTAAAAAACAAATGTCAATCAAAGTAAAAGTCATATCACATCATGTGTCTTGTAACCTATTAAGCTTGTAGGGGTGCCATATGTACTGTAGCCATAGTAACAGTGGGTGTGTCTAAGGTAAGATAGACTGACAGAACTCATCCCTCTTCATGGTGGTTTTGAATTCCTTCTCTTAAACTGGTTACTTCCTTAATTAAAGAGAGCTCAGTTAGCACTGCTATTTAACCCATAGCTGAGGGGATATGGTAACAATACTGAGACATAAAGAAAGAAAATCTCACTTTATCCCTGTCTATTTTTTACAGTTCATTAATCATACCCTCTCATTCTCTCTCTCTTTTCTTTCTCTCACTCTAAAGTGAGGATTGTTCAATTCTCTCTCTATTTCTACCTCTACATAGATAGATTACAATATGATTTTTATATAATGTATGTGTGTATGTATTTTAGATAAAACCATTACTTAAATGACAACAATTTTTTATGAGAGAATTACAATTGACAAAAGACAAATGCAGCCAAAATATAAATAAAATATATATGGGAGAATATAATATAAATTTCTATATATCAGATCAATTTTATGTAACTTAACTGATAAAGTGGAAAAAAGTTTAACATATATATATATATATATATATATATATATATATATATATATATATATATATATATATATATATATATATATATATACTCAGGAAGCTCCTAGCCTCTATCTTAAAAACAACTTGAAAGAGGCCATTTAACCAATACAAGGACTGACCAAAATTAACGATAAAAAACAAATGAAAAATACAAATAAAGTTCACTATCTTCGGAGACAGTCATTGACTCCTGTAGTTCACTGCTACTAACAAGCATCTCCTGATGATGGCCGTGCTTGCCAAAATTAGTCGAGAAACTTAATTGAAATAATAAAACAAAAAAAGATTAATATACAACCCAGTGTGTCTGAAGATTTTAATATTTTTTTTATTCAAAACATATATATGTTGTAGAATTCCCATAATGCACTAGAAAGAGAGTTTTGATGAAAAAATACAAAGTCTCTCTATCCACTGACTGTTGGACCAGAAAGACATGTTTTCTTAAAGGAGTTCACAAAAGATGTCTATTTATACAGAAAGGCCAAAACTATCTAATGCATTTTCGGAATTTTACTTCCTTTCCTTACTATAACCTAATAAGGCAGGGGACACAAATCATGCTTCCTATTTATGAATCACACACACACACACACACATTTTATATATATATATATATATATATATATATATATATAGTGGGGGAGATATAAACCAGTTATTATACATCAATCTTTTCAATCTTAAAACTGAATGAGATTGGCAGAACATCTAAACACGTTGGATGTCAGAATTATGACATCTTTAATGTTTCCCCTAAATATGAACTGGGATTTAAATTTATTTCTTACTACTTGTGTATATCCAATCATTGCAAAATTTTGTACCCAATTTTCATTGTTAATATATAATGATAGCAATTTGATGCTGACCTTTGTTTTGATGCTAATTTCTGGTGTGTTCAGGATTGTAAACATTCATTGTTCAGTTGCGAGTTAGATTTTGTTGAATTTTGATGTTTGGTCCACAAATGAATGCCTTCAAGATGGAGGATGAAAAATTGCACTTTTGCCATATTATGATCTCTGAATTTCAGAAACAAGTCAGTGTCGGAACTGCAACAAAAAAAAAAAAACATTCAGAAGGTTTAGTTAAATTGTGATCCAGCTCTTCAGAGGATCAAAAAGTAGTTTCGCAGATTTCATCAAGATGATTTTTTTTAACTTAAATGATTAACAATGCTCTGGGAAACCTTTCAACATATCTCACCTGCAGTTCGCCATATATATATATATATGTATATATATATATATATATATATATATATATATATATATATATATATATATATATATATATATATATATATATATATATATATATATATATATACATATATATATATATATATATATATATATATATATATATATATATATATATATATATATATATATATATATGTATATAAATATATATATATATGTATATATATATATATATATATATATATATATATATATATATATATATATATATATATATATATATATATATATATATATATATATATATATATATATATATATATATATATATATATATATATATATATATATATATATATATATATATATATATATATATATATATATATATATATATATATATATATATATATATATACTATATATATATATATATATATATATATACATATATATATATATATATATATATATATATATATATATATATATATATATATATATATATATATATATATATATATATATATATATATATATATATATATATATATATATATATATATATATATATATATATATATATATATATATATATATATACATATACATATATACTATATAATTATTTATTTAAAAAAATTTATAACATAAATATGTTATAAAATCACTACAAAATAGCTATTTTGTTTCAACACCCTTGGTGTTTTATCATGATTCTGAATTCATTCCATATACATAGTATATATATATATATATATATATATATATATATATATATATATATATATATATATATATATATATATATATATATGAAATGAATATTTGTGATAAAATTCTTCCGACTGTTGTCACTTTGAAAATTCTTCTGCAAGTTTATTTCTAAATAAACTTTGTTCATTGTAAATCCATGCACCTCAGTCAAAACTGAACCCATTCCTCATAGCAGCACAGCTAAGCTTTCTACTCTAGAGAGTGTCAGCTAGACAGGAAGCTTAGATCTCACCATTGCTTGAGATGAGCCATTACAAAATGACTTTCTTATAGTCTATCATCTTGATGGAACTTTTCTCTAATTTCCCAAGAGATTTCGTCTGTCTTTTGGCCATTGAATTCTATTTTTCGTTTTGCATTTCTTTCTTTCTTTCTTTCTTCCTTTTTGCATTTTTCTGTTTCTTTTCTTCCTTTTTGCATTTTTCTGTTTCTTTTCTTCCTTTTGTACATTTCTTTGTTTCTTTTCTTTCTCTTTGCTTTTTTTTTCTTTTCTCCCTCTGCTTTTGTTTTCTTTCTTTTTGTCCTCTTTTGTTTTCTTTCTTTTCCTCCTTTTTTGTTTTCTGTCTTTTCTTCCTCTGCTTTTCTTTCTTTTAATCCTCTTGGCTTTTCTTCCTCTCTTCTTGTCCTCTTTGCTTTTATTTCTTTTCCTTCTCTTTGTTTTTCTTTCTTTCTTTTCCTTCCCTTTGCTTTTCTTTCTTTCTTTCTTTCTTTTCCTCCTCTTTGCTTTTCTTTCTCTTTGCTTTTCTTTCTCTTTGCTTTTCTTTCTCTTTGCTTTTCTTTAATTCTTTCTCTTTGCTTTTCTCTTTCTTTTACTTCCTCTTTGGATTTATTTCTTTTACTTCCTCTTTGCTTTTATTTCTTTTTCTTCCTCTTTGCTTTTATTTCTTTTTTCTTTTTCTTTTCTTTTCTTTCTTTTTGCTTTTTTTTTCTTTTCTTCCTCTTTGCTTTTCTTTTTCTATTCTTCCTCTTTGCTTTTCTTTTTCTATTCTTCCTCTTTGCTTTACTTTTTCTATTCTTCCTCTTTGCTTTACTTTTTCTTTTCTTTCTTTTTTTCTTTTCTTTCTTTTTTTCTTTTCTTTCTTTTTTTCTTTCTCTTTGCTTTTCTTTCTTTCTCTTTGATTTTCTTTCTTTTCTTTCTCTTTGCTTTTATTTCTTTTTCTTTTCTTCCTCTTTGCTTTTCTTTTTCTTTTCTTCCTCTTTGCTTTTCTTTTTCTATTATTTCTTTTTTCTTTCTCTCTTTGCTTTTCTTTCTTTTTTTCTTTCTCTCTTTGCTTTTCTTTTTTTTTTTTTTTTCTCTTTGCTTTTCTTTCTTTTTTCTTTCTCTTTGCTTTTCTTTCTTTTTTCTTTCTCTTTGCTTTTCTTTCTTTTCTTTGCTTTCTCTTTGCTTTTCTTTCTTTTCTTTGCTTTTCTTTCTCTTTGCTTTTCTTTTTTTCTTTTCTTTTCTTTCTATTCTTCCTTTTTGCATTTCTTTGTTTCTTTTGTTTCTTTTTCCTTTGCCTTTCTTTTCTTTTTACTTTTACCTTTTCAACTATTTTCTCAATTTTCTTCCCTTCTGATCATTTCATTTCATTTATTACCATTTCTTCCTTTTTTTTTCTTCTCTTTTCCATTATTGATAACCAACATATCTGATAATGAGCCTAAAACATAAGTTACAAAATAAATACATTATAATTAGATTTAACATAGCATCCGCCATGTTAACCAATAAGTCACATACCCAAGAAATATATTGCAACTGTGGGATAAAGAAAAAAAAATGTGCCTCTGACAGGAATTGAACCTGTATCTCTTTTTTCCATTTGGGGGAAATCTTTTTAGCCAAAGTGTGCCACTATCAGCTCAGTCAAGGAGACCAACCTGACAAAGCAAGGTTTCAATGACCTATTTAAGGAAATGACCAAAGAGAGCAATTGGGGTTATTCGTATTGTGAGGCTAGAGGTGAAATTCTTGGATTGTCGCAAGGTGAACTGCAGCTATGGCGTGTGGCAACCCCGTTTTCCTTGATCAAGAGCAAAAGTTGAAGGTTTGAAGACGACCAGATACCATCAAAGTTCCGACTGTAAACAATGCCAACCAGCTGTTGGCCTGCAGGAAACCAGAGTTCGGTTCCACAGGCGGTATGGTTGCAAAGCTGAAATTTAAAGGAATTGACAGAAGGGCACCACCAATTTGACTCAACACGGGAAAACCCACCTGGTTTGGATACCAGTAGGATTGACAAATCAATAATACTTTCTTGATTTGGTAGGTGGTGCTGCACGGCTGTTCTTAGTTGGTGGAATGAGCGGTCTGGTTAATTCCGAGTCTGCCATTGCGGATGCCCATTTCCTATAGGGATTTCTATGAATCTACATCTGTAAGCTTCAGTTTTATACCTGAAATGTTAACAACAGTCATTTTTGAAAGGATTTATTTATCTAATATTATTTTGTATTACTATAAACATTATTTTTAGTAGCTACACACGTTTGAGTTGCAGTCGCTGTTTTTTATTTTTGGATTTTTTCATTTTTTTAAAACTTTTTTGTTTTAATAACAAAACAAAAACTCACTAAAAATAACATTCATAGTAATAGAAAATAAAGTTGGATAAAAGTTCCTTTCAAAAATTATAATTGATATATGCAAATTCTATCAGTCATTTAATATCATACACAAATTTACTCAATAACCTTTTAGTGCTGAGTGAATAACTCCAATGGAGAGTTCCTATTCACATATGCGCAGTAAGGCCCCTTCTCATTGACTGCAAAGTTGCATAAAGATCACACATCCAATTCTAAAGATATGGCTGGATATCTTTCTGAAATACCACCCAGTTTTGTTGAAATGGATGAAGAAAATGTTTTCTTCTCCATCTAAAGATGGAATGAAAGCAAAAGAAACTGAAAAACTAAGAAGCAACAAATTATAAGGTACATAATAATGACAATTCCTCATCTTAGAAATGTCAAAATATAAATTAGATAAAAGTCAGAGAGAAAGCAGGAATGAAAGCAAACAAGAGAAGCAAAAAGACTAAGATGAAAATAAAATTATGTGCTTTGAAAGACTTGCACAATCTCTAGCCATTTTTTTCTATTCTGATTCCAGAGATCCAATAAGAAACAATGGGTTTTGTATTTTATTCAATGAATTGTTTTGAATAGAAAATTAAAACTTTGAGGAATACTTAATACTTACTTGATATTTAAAAATATTAATTAAGTTTCAATAAGAGAGAGAGAGAGAGAGATCCTGTATTTTGGCCTTGAAAATCAACACTTGAAATTTTGGCTTTTTCTTGGACTTGATCTCTCAATGCAATTACCTCAGACACCAAACAGGTTCCTTCCAATTAATAATTAAAAACAAATATTAGAAGTAGTTTACAGATCTGTTTGACATATGGAGACAAAGTTAAAGTTGTTTTGACTGAATTGCTTGCATATAAAATACATGCAAAATAACAACTGGCTTTCTAACCTGTGCGTTAAGTGGAGACTTTTACAAGAGCTTAAAACTAAATGTCTGGATCTGCACAATCCTCTCATTCCAGCTTTGTTGAATCTCATAAATTTTCTACACAAATTGGATGTTGACTGATGGACAACTCAAAATAGAAAGCGTTAAATACGTTTTTTGTGCATTAGTTCCCCACATCCACCGATTTTAACCAAAACAAAATATTAATATTATGAACAGTCAGAGCCTCTTCTGCTCAAAAACCAAAACCTTAATTTTGAGCAGACTAAATACCCAAATTCAAACAAATCCAACGCAAACCAGATGTCAACACCGACACACTGAAAGAGAAATGCCAACAACAATGACCATTTCACTTTTAATTTTATCATTCTCTCTCCCTATTGCCATAGCAACAGATAGAATTTACGAATCTCTCTCTCTCTCTCTATATATATATATATTATGAAATGGACAAAGTCCAACAATTATTTTAAGACATGTTTATGTCTATACATTCTTTTTATATATACAAATATTTAAGTAAATGCTCTGTTTATAATAAACATTATTAACATTTACTGGCCTGAATTTACATTTGGATACACTTTGAGCAGATATGAATGACATGAGAGGTTCATGGAAGATTGTAGTTTAAAAGCAGTAAAATTGACCCTGCTAACTGAACGATCCTCTGTGGCTCAATCGGTTAAGGCACATCAGGCTATATGATGGTTCCATATAGGATACAGGTTCGATTCCTGTCGGAGGATGAATATTTTCTATGAAAATTTCTCAGACATTCAGGCTGGTAAATGTTATTTATACTGTTTATTATAAACAGAGCATTTACTTAAATATTTGTATCAATAAAAAGAATGTATAAACATAAAAATGTCTTAAATATATATATATATATATGTGTGTGTGTGTGTGTGTGTGTGTGTATTTAGGCAGGAATCCTTCTTTTATGCATATTTCATTGAATATAACAGACAAGCTGCTTTGATTTAGTTTTTTTATACGGTTTCTCATGTGATCTAATAATTTTTTTTCTTTTCGGATGATGATTAAATAAAAAGTGTCCAATTGTTCATTTTATTTTGAGCGCTTTCACCTATCCATTTTCAAGGTTGAGATATATTAATTGTTAATAAGAAATAGTTTGTTCACTATTTACATTATTCTGACTATTGACCTCTTTGTTGCCATATTTATCACAACGTTTCAACAGTTGTATGCTCTGTTTATCGGAGAAAATACAAAGGATCTGCAGTCCATATAACATCAGGACAACCTTCAAAAGCGGGATGACACTTCGCAGATAACTCACCTGAGTACTCCCCTCCCCCATAGAGGAGAACATGACTAAAAACTGTGTGTACGCCATCCTGTGCAGCTGTGGAAAGAAACATAAAGGGGAGATAGGCTGCCCACTTATGGTAAGGCTTCAAGAACACCAAAAAGCTGTAACACGAAGGGAAGGAGAAAAATCAGGCATGGCTGACCACATATGGAGAGAAAAGGGAGATCACTGCCCTCTGTGGGATCAGGTTGAAATATGCTAGACCACAAAAATATCCTGAGCCGACCAAGCATAGAAATGAATACAATATAGGAACCAGTAATATGGAGTGCTGGAGAAAAGCAATAATAACAGCTAAACTTGCAATATGAGCACTGGTAAAAACGGTTGCTGAAGACATTAAAGTTTATAAGTCCCAGAAATTCATACACAGATGTCCTTAAGAACACATGGCACTGTGGATAAAGGTGTTGCTGGAGAACTTAGAGAGTTGAATTAACAAGAGATAACTGATAACTGACATCCATTAGACATGGCACGTGGAACTAGAACAGTCTAGTGACATTCCAACCACCTGAAGAAGGCTGGAGTGTGATAAATAAACAACAAAGATGAGGACAATAGTCCAAATAATTTAAACAGTGTACATAATACCTCATCTCAGAAATATAGACAGATACTGAAATAATTTGTTGTATGTATGTATTTATATAATGTTTTCATTTTCAAAACAGGATCTTGTTAACAGTTAGAATATTTCAACCTTGAAAATGGCTAAATGTACAGCTAAAAGCACTCGGATAAAAAGAACAATCGGACAATTTTTATATAATTTATCATCCAAAAAGATAACATTATTAGTTCACATGAGAAAACGTATAAAAAAAATAAATGAAAGCACCTTGTCTGTTGGATTCAATTAAATATGCATATATATATATATATATATATATATATATATATATATATATATATATATATATATATTTACCCTTACTCTGTGTCTTCTTTTTGTTTGCTGATTTGATTTACGGTTGCTGAAGTGGAGAAGGAATTAACCTCCACAACAGTCACAAGGTTCTCTCTTCCACATTACCCATTTCAGCTTTGATAGTGTTCAGAAACGTTTACTCAGTCTTGTGGGGGATGATTTATTTTCCATCCAAAGCCCCTTTACCAACAGATGCAACATCACAAGCCAATTGCTACTCTGTTGTTATTTCCTTGGCAAATGTTCCAACAAACTCCATTCTTTAGTACCACTATTTCAGACCTTTACAGCCAAGACCCACTTGGTTACATCCACAGGGTTGAATCCCCCTCATTTCCTATGTATTACATTGGTAAGAAGAATTTTCCATATGAAAATTCTCTTCTCAGGAACTACTACTTTGTGGAACAGACACTCACATAAATGTTTTCCTGAATACTACAATCTTAACCTCTTCAAGTCGAGGTCAATCTGCCATAACCTTGTAATTATCAGTTTCTACTTCCTCCTCTTATGTTTATATTACACATCTCATTTAATAACCCTCTACCTTGAGTGCCTCTTTGGCCTTGTATTGAGTGAACTTCAGTAAAATTAATAAATAAATAAAATAAAAATTAATTCTCAATACTGCAAAAGTAAACTCTTGGGAAACAGATTCTTGCCATTTTTTTGGAAATGGATACAAGCATAATTTATTAATTGGCATTTATCTTAGAAAATGTCTTGAGTCATTACAAAATAACTGATATATTCTCTGCTCAAAAGATATACTGTTAATAATTGAAACATATATTTTAGTTTTGTGTTGAAGATTTTCTTTTGTCATTAGGATTGATTGATTGATTGATTGAATTGCTTTTTATGGCTTATGGACCCTTTGTGTTGTTTAAAACTGAAACATAT